CAAGAGATTTGTGGAGCTATTGGGGCCTATTATCACTTTCCTCAAAGAACGGGGGAACACTACAAGGAATTTGGAGGGACAAAGATGGCAGTGTGATTTAGCTTTCCTTGCTGACATTACTGCTTATCTAAACGACCTTAATTTGAGATTGCAGGGAAAGATGCAACTTGTTTCTCAGTTGACAAGTAACATCAATGCATTTATGACCAAACTATCACTTTTCAAGTCCCACATGCAATCAGAGAACTTTACACACTTTCCACATTGCAAGGCCATGAAAGAGAAATACCCACATATGAAGATGGATTACTCTGACCAAGTTAACACCCTCCTTACATCATTCAATGAGAGGTTTGGTGAATTCCAGAAATACAAGATCTACCTGCAACTTTTTTCAACTCCATTTGATGTGAAAGTGGAAGATGCCCCTCCAGATGTCCAACTTGAGTTGATAGACATCCAGTGCAGTGATGAATTGAAATCACAGTTCAAAAATTCTAATCTCCTCACATTCTACAAAGAACTGCCAGATACATCATTTCCAAAACTGAAAGACAATGCTCGATTTTGTGCAAGCATGTTTGGCAGTACCTATGTATGCAAACAAGCATTTTCGCTTATGAATTTAAACAAGTGCAAAACATGGAACAGGTTAACGAACGAGAATTTGGAAAATCTGCTGGTTGTTTCAACATCTGTCATTACACCAGACATCAAGAAGATTGCAGCCAGCATCCAATCTCAGCCATCGCATTAATCGCTTGGAGGTCCGGCCCCCAGTCAATAAACTTAATCCTAATTTGGCCCTTCTTCACAAAAGGTTGTGCATCCCTGGTAACAGTAAAGTAAAAACAAACTGATGCTAAAAGTTGATAGATGACACTGTGGTCAATAAACAAATGAACCTCTTAACAAATACTGGAGGAAATATAATTCATCACAAAAAAAATTTATGAAGAATTCAAATGCGTGTGGAATGGAACAAATTGTTCCATTCCACACACATTTGAATTCTTCATAACTATAGCCTGATGAAGACCTGGATGGGGTCGAAAATGTTTGCTGTTTTGTAAACACTAATCACTGGAGTTACAAAGGTTTTTTTGTGTGATGAATTACTGTGGTCAATATTGACAAAATTAATTTTATAAAAATTCTCAATGGAATTAGTTATTTAGTATTAAAAAATGTATAGAAGAAAAGTTTCCTGAGTTAAAACACTCAATCTTTACCAATTTTGAGGACTAAAAACACTGACTTAAAAATTCACAATAAGTAATTTATTTAAACCTTTAAAACATTCTCCAAATTCCACTGATGAGACCTCAATTAAAGGCAAAATACATTTGTCATTACTCAAACTAAGTCAGAAAGCTGAAATTCTCTTTCAATTAATATACAGAAATAAAGTTTTTTAAATAAAATATCATAACAGATGGTAACACCAATTTAAATTTTTTGCAGGGAAAGTTATGCAACTCATTTCTGGAATTTTTGTACTATGTTCAGTATATATCCACTCTATCCACTTTCCTATTTCTATCTTTTTCATCCAGCAAGGTCTCAAATAGTTTTATTCCTCCTAAAGACAATTTTCTTTCAATTACTTTCCAAAGATTAGTTCTTTTCCATTTTATAAAATGGACCAGAACCCATTTGTCTATTATACCCAATTCAAATCCAATTTGAATTTCCCAACTTTAACCATCTTATTAACTTAGGCTATGTCCTACATGGCAGCTTCCAGTGACTGCGGGTGGATAGAATTTTTGTACATGTTTCCAATCCATAAGAGACTTCTGTCCAGAGTGAACGCATGTTGTTTACAAGGTGGTGGTGAGATGACTTTGTTGAATGCTACTATGAAAAATATGACTAGCATTAAAATGGTAAATTTGAAAGGTAAATGTTATCACTAACTAGATACACAACAAATATAAAAGACTCTTTATAGAATAAGTTAAAAAAAGTTTTATTTTTAAAACATTACATTTAAATTATGTAAAAGATTATTAGTACATACAACATATATACACAATTTGTCATTCTGTTTTTATTTATCTATAAAATCAACCATTTTCTTCTTTGGAAGCATGAGTAGTGGAAGCGACGATCAAACTTGCTTGGTAGCTGCTTCCTGTACGCACATGTANTCAATTATGCTTTCATATAAAGTCTAGTAATAGCGAAGTAATAGCGAAAGCATAAAAAGAGTATTTTCGTTGAATTATGAGAATATCGCTATTCAAAAAGTATTCAAATAGATACACAACAAATATAAAAGACTCTTTATAGAATAAGTTAAAAAAAGTTTTATTTTTAAAACATTACATTTATACAAAATCAGAAATTATTAAATTATGTAAAAGATTATTAGTACATACAACATATATACACAATTTGTCATTCTGTTTTTATTTATCTATAAAATCAACCATTTTCTTCTTTGGAAGCATGAGTAGTGGAAGCGACGATCAAACTTGCTTGGTAGCTGCTTCCTGTACGCACATGTAGAATCGCCCTCTGGTGGTTGCTGAACACTAAACACAATTACTCCAGACATGCACATTTGCTTGAATCAGTTTGTCCACTCGGAAGCACATTCACACCCGTAGTCGCTGGATGCTGCCACGTAGGACGTACCCTTACCATCTGTTAACAACATATGTATGTGCTATGTTATTAATGACTTTAATTTCTTCCTTTATATCTTTTTGTTGTGTGGTGACATTATTTGCACAATGCACTAATTTCTTTAAAGGTCACTCTAGTGTACTGTCATGAATTACATGAATCTGATGGGATGTAAATCAACTTAAACGTTTCCTCACAATAAACTTTTGCAATATATTGATTGTAGTTGCTTTCCTGATTTTTGAACTTCACAGCATCAAACCGAAACTTTCATCAGAACATAAGACTACTAATCTGCCAATGTTGTTATTAGGCCTATTTTTTCAAATAACCAGAATGTCATACTTCAAATTTTATATCTTCTTCAAATGAGATAACAAGTAGTTCATGATGGAAAAAGTAAAGATTGTTGAAAAAGCAGAGAATGGGAAGTTATTAACATCAAAAATGTTGAAACCGTGACCAGCAAGGAAATGGGTCATCAAGAATGAGAGGAAGTAGTGCAGTGAAATTCAAAAACTCTTGGATGTTTTAAGAAATCAAATGACAAAATCTGTCAAATTTGAACAAATATTGTAGAGTTTCAAGTATTCTTTCTAGAAGGATATTTAAGAATTAGAATAATAAACTTAAAAGATGGTTTAAAAGTTGTCCTTAGTTTTAAAAAAAGTGTGAAATTACGATGACTAGTCAAGTAGGTAGGACCTTTTATATGTGATTTATATATTTTAGGAAATGTTTATTAACTATGTTAGCTTTTTCAGTCAATATCTATTATTTCTTTTAACATTTAATAAGTGATTAAATTTATAATATATCTAACAATACATTAATGACAACCAGTAAGATATTAGTATACATCACAAGATTTAAGTTCAAATCTGATCTCTACTCATAATTATAGATAGTTACAGCATTTTTAATCATTTCTCACTTATATCAGTTAATCCCAATATAGTTCTATTCATCAAAAAATAATTATGTATGACCTGTAGTATTTAATGTGTTGGTATCTACAACCACAAATCAGTGTGAAAGGATCTTATTTTCAGATAATTAAAAAATATTAAACAAATCTATAACCAAGAATAACGTTTTTTGAAAATCTCAAAAATAAAAGTGTTGACAAGTTATAAGAAACACTAGAACAGTGTTTCTCAACGGGGGCGATATCGCCACCAAGTGGGCGTTTTTCATGTTCAGGGGGCGATTAGTAACAATTTATATTTGGGGGGCGAAAAACAATTTTCTGGGTCATATAGTAAAACATTATATTAAGAATAATTAGATATTTTATTCGTTATAAACGTACAATAATTAAGCAAATAACATTATACTAGTCACTAGTCTATTCAATGCAGTACGAATTTGGCGCTAGCCTTGGCTTCTGGCATCGGAATTTTGAAGTGAAGGGGGCGATACTACGTAATGGTTTTATTGAAGGGGGCGACGATTCGTTCGAGGTTGAGAAACACTGCACTAGAACATCATGTTGACATTTTGTTCTAATAAAAATCGAAATTATCATTACTCATAAATACATAATCTAAATATAGCTAAAATAATATATATAGTATATCTATTATCTAAAATTAGAATTTAGAAACGATTTGAAAATCCAAACGATACAGTAAAAACATACAAAAACGCATACCGATAAAGAAAAATTAATATTTAACTCGGAAAGTTATCTATACTTATATTTACTTACTTTAAACCGATAGAGATAATACAAATCTACGAGAACCGAGTCTTTGGCTCTACGGAAAAGAGATAAATTACAAAGTAAAATTCCAAAACAAAATTCCGTATTTAAAATCACAATACGGCAAGTTACTTCATGCCACATATAGCAATTAGTGTAAGAATTATAGCAAGAAGTATATAGCAATTTAATAATTAACTAAAACCATAAATCTTAATATATTACTTCTACAGCCGTAAATTCTTCTCAAAATGCAAATATTGATAAGTTATCTTAGTTATAACTATTTTCAATGAATAATATCAAAATATTTTTCATAATTTTGAAAAGTTGTGTTGTAGGGGGAAAAAAAAAAAAATTTATCTAGAACTGATAGAGATGATGTAATACAGAATGTAAAAGGGACTCAAATATCTTTCATAATCCAATATAATTCAGGCTAATTGGTGTTTAATTAATCAGTTAGACATAACGATGAAGTTATCATCGATTCACAATTACAATAACTCACTTCATATTCGTATTGAATTGGTTTATGAACACACATTACTTAAATATTTTGTATTTTAGATGATTATCGCGTAGAGAAATAACCAGAAAGTAACATGTTCAAATATTTATCAATCTAAATAAGGAAAATATTGTTTTGAGTTAGGCTTACCAATTAGTGAGAATGAGTTGAGCTAGAAACGTGATGTTTTAAATAGCTGCTTTGTGTAGCTAGAAGAGCGAGGACATTTGCTGATCGATGTTCTTTCTTGTTAATTTTCTATTTCGGAATATTTTCAGTAACTAACTAATGAACCCGCCTCATTTACCGAACGCACAGAATTATGGTCTCGACACGATCGTTTGACACTTTTGCCCCCTGTTGGTGTGAACTAAAATCTCCAGATTGCCTCTATAAAAGATACGGGAGGTGTTCTGTCTGTAATTTCCGGTATACACTCTCTTTTTTAGATAAAGTAGAAATATTTTTTAACTAAATTAATTTTATTTTATAATTAACAAATCTCCGTAACAAATTTAAATATTGTAATAGATTATTATTTATTTTTATTAGAACGATTTAAGCGAATTCGTGTATCTATTTTCCGCTTTTTATTTTTAGTTCTTTTCACTTGTGAATTTTGAGAGGAATACTATCATTTTTCCACACCCATCGTGGGTTTCGGCTAGGTTCACAACCAGGCAGTAAAGTAACTTGAACTGGTATTAAGAGAGCCCTAATCGGTGGTGTAATCTGAATTTTGAGATTATGTGTGCTGCTCGAGATAGATTCGGAGATCCGAGACACGAGTCTCTGCCGTTTTGCAGAGAATGTTATTCAGTTACCTTCAATAGCGGATCCAGAAATCTTTAGAGGGGGTGAAGAAAGTAAACAATATGCCTTGCAAAATTTTTACCACTTTAGGTACTGTACTGTACTGTACAAGGCTTTACTCGGAAAAACACCGGGTGAGAGGTACAGTAGCGCCCTTCTCACCCTCTAAATTCTCCCGATCGCGGTATTTTTATCATAAAAATCGGTCATAAAAATAATAAGGTAATAAATATAATAATGTGATAGGCGTTATTGTATTTATTCTTATTTTAAAGTAATAAAACTGATTACTTTAGTATCGAGAGAGTGCTGTAGCACCATAAGCATCTTCCTGAATACACCCTGGCCCGAATTAGAACGTGCAAACCTACATTCACTCTGTACCACTGTGGATGCAGTCACTACTGCTATTAATGAAGGATTAACCTTCTGGTTATGATACACTAATGAGAACGGCTGAATGGTGGAGAACGGATACGACATATTCGACATATGCAAATAAGGCACGTGTCCCTTGATTCAGTAAAAAATTCTACGAATTAGAATCGCAAAAGTGATTGAGATATGTAACTTTACAATTTCGATCGTGGGACACTGATGTAATACTGTATTCTACAATCTACTTATGGAAAATAACCCCAAAAAATTAAATAAAAGTTTATTGATGTAATTATTTGTTTCTAAGCTTTGCCTCCTGGAATATTTGATCCTGGATCCTCAAAAGTGATAGGCTGACACCTTAGTCGCACCGGCCATTCGGTAGGCCTTTTTAGTTGCGATATCTTTTTATTCGTTTGATTATATTGTACGTACAGGAAATACACAAAATTTCATCTAAAGAGAAAATAATATAAAATTTCTTTGTAATTATAAGCATAAATTCTGTGGTGATTAAGTCTTTATGTTATTGCGATATAACAATAAATGTGATGGGGAAATTTATCGCATAATTTCCGTGAAGTTTTTACAAAAAAAAAATGATGAAGGTTAACCAATAATTAATTTTAATAGAATTGCACAGAAAGTTCAAATTGTTTAGTTTTTCGCTTATTTTTTCAAATAATTCAATTAAATTTTTAAAAAAATTGCTATTGAAAATCAAAACGGCAACTTGTTAACACAGAAATAACAAAATTTGCGATAATAACAAGAATATCATGCTAACAATTAGAAAATGAATGTTTCTAAAATATTAAATAAAAACTAAATGAATCGAAGTGATGAACGAGAAACCAAGTTGCGAGCGATAAATGTTTCAATGTTTTAATGTTATCGCGGGTTATCTGTTGTTTAGATCTTTTTGGCTGTCTGGTCAGAAAATTCCCTCACTTGTATCTGTTTAGCGTAGTCTTACATCAACAGTTAGCATGCTATCATTTCTACATATATGTTATATAATGATTTTGGTTTCTTTTCTTTCTCTGTGTGTCAGAAACAGACCTTGCAATGATATCACTCTGGCATATGTAAATTATTCAACGTACTGGACAGTACCTCTGTGCGTTGATTATTTGATGCCGCCTGTCCAACAGGCTGGCCAGGTGGAGTTTCCCGGTTTTCTTCATATGTTTAACAGCTAAATAGAGGCCAATTTAGCATAGAAAGTTTTGGGAACATTCCTCCTTGGCAGATCATCCACATATTACGTTGCCTTTAATTAACCATCAATCATCGATCAAAAGAAATATCTAAACACAGCATAATAAAAGTTACGTATTTTTATAAAAACATCATATAAGAATTATTAATTAAAAATATCAGTTTTTAGTTATAATTCTGTTATCTTTATGTATATTAAATGTAAATTAAAACTGTAATTCTTGAAATTTTAACATAAATTTATAATTATTTCTAATGCGATTAAAAGCAAAAGATATTTATATTTTTGATACCAAAATTTATATAAAGTAAAATAAAATTATTAAAGATGCTGAAAAACCAATTAAATTAAAAAAAAATTTATTTCCTTCTGTCCTGCAAGTAGTTTTTTTTAAACTCTTTCCGCCTTGTGGGCACTAAAAAAGCCTCTTTTGGCAAGCCCACAATGGGGTGGCCGAGTAATGAGGGACGGACCACTCCCCAAAAAATTCTGGAGATATTTCGACCCGTTCGGATTTGATCCCGGATCCCCCAGAGCGGTAGGCTGCTACCTTAACCGTTCGGCCATCAGGCCCCCCCGGGTAGTAACAAGTCACATCCACAACGGTTATGAAGCTTTTTTTCATACTTGTTATCGATGCTCTCTTAANTACTAATTACATGGGATATAATAATATACTACACTAATAATGGATTTTTTCATACTTTTCGGTTATCCGACTTTTCAATTATCCGACCAACCCCAGTCCCCAATTAGGGCGGATAATCGAGGTTCTACTGTAGTCTGTTCCGGATATGCCAGACCCCACCATGCCCGCATTATCAGAATAATTTTTTTTTAAAACTTTTTCCTCTCAGTAGATACTTTTTTAAAACTCTTTCCGCCCTGTGGGCACTAAGAGGGCCTCTTTTTGCAAGCCCATTATGTGTTCGGCCAGGCCCACAATGGAGTGGCCGGGTGGTGAGGGACGGGGCCCAACATATCCGAACGGACCACCCCCGAGAAATTCCTGGAGATTATTTGATCCGTCTGGATTCGATCCCGGGTCACCTAGAGTGGTAGGCTGCCATTTGAACGGTCGGCCATACGGCCATCGCTGGCGGATGTTCTGTAAGAATATTTGGATTTTGTGTTAAAGCCTTTGGCAGCGTCACGGTACTCGATGCTTAGTTTTAAATAAAAACATAATTACATTTTTATTATATTTATCTGTGTCCTTTCTCCAACTAAAAGAAAAACACTTTTTTACATGTAATTGTACAGCGCTGTATAATTGACCATGGCGCCTCCGTTTGACTAACACGCTAAATAAAAGTTAATGAAAATAAAAATAAAACTTAAGAAAATGGGCTGCCAAGGAGTACGCAAATCAAAACAGGCTACCTTATACCATTGAAAATGGTAACGTCTGTGACTGTACTAAGAGCCACACTTTTGAGCATGGATAGATTCTATTGTGACGTTAAATACATATAATCACTTTATTGGTTCTTGTTTTAAATTAATCTCTCTGCACTGTGGGCACTACGAGACTCTTTTTCATGCCCATTAATTAAGGACAGTGCTTAAGTCCGACCACACAGGAGATATGTCACACGACCCCTTCTATGTCTCTACCCTGTCGACCTTTAATTAAGAACTAAAATTTAATAGCATTAATGCCCCTTTATACACAATCTACCGTGCCAAATTTCGTTTTTTAAACTTTACCCATTCTGAGATATTGTTTAATATCTCAGAACAGAGAATAAAGAAATTCAACAAATTAGACGCCAACACATACAACAGCAAAAGATGTACAGCTTTTGCTCCTTTATTTGACATTTTTTGGGTTTAGGAGATCGCCAAACGTAAATTTGCAAAAAACTCGGAGGGTCAAATTTGACACGATTCCAATACTTTTCTGTTTTATATACTGTACTGTACATAACAAATTGAGAAGGTAAAAAGGAGTCGGAGTCGGCGGATTTTTGACGACTCCAACTTCTACTAAAACACCAAAACTCCACGATTCCGACTCCGACTCCACAGCCCTGTTTAAAATATATACAGTCGACCCCCATAACACTGTTGATTTTTCCGTTTTATATGAATTCCATGTTGTACGAGTCACTTAGATTTTACAAATACGTGAGCCGTTCACAGCCCGGCACAGGTATTTGTAAAATCTAAGTGACTCGTACAACATGGAATTCATATAAAACGGAANGTTTTTCGCTTATTTTTTCAAATAATTGAATTAAATTTTTAAAAAAATTGCTATTGAAAATCAAAACGGCAACTTGTTAACACAGAAATAACAAAATTTGCGATAATAACAAGAATATCATGCTAACAATTAGAAAATGAATGTTTCTAAAATATTAAATAAAAACTAAATGAATCGAAGTGATGAACGAGAAACCAAGTTGCGAGCGATAAATGTTTCAATGTTTTAATGTTATCGCGGGTTATCTGTTGTTTAGATCTTTTTGGCTGTCTGGTCAGAAAATTCCCTCACTTGTATCTGTTTAGCGTAGTCTTACATCAACAGTTAGCATGCTATCATTTCTACACATATGTTATATAATGATTTTGGTTTCTTTTCTTTCTCTGTGTGTCAGAAACAGACCTTGCAATGATATCACTCTGGCATATGTAAATTATTCAACGTACTGGACAGTACCTCTGTGCGTTGATTATTTGATGCCACCTGTCCAACAGGCTGGCCAGGTGGAGTTTCCCGGTTTTCTTCATATGTTTAACAGCTAAATAGAGGCCAATTTAGCATAGAAAGTTTTGGGAACATTCCTCCTTGGCAGATCATCCACATATTACGTTGCCTTTAATTAACCATCAATCATCGATCAAAAGAAATATCTAAACACAGCATAATAAAAGTTACGTATTTTTATAAAAACATCATATAAGAATTATTAATTAAAAATATCAGTTTTTAGTTATAATTCTGTTAT